GAGGGGTTGGGTATTAAGGAATTTGGGTGTTACGGTGGTAAGGGTCTTACGGCGGTGTTCAGGTATTCGGGCCTTCGGGCGTTAGCGTGTCCGGGTGGTAGGTGTCAGGGTCTTAAGGCCTTAGGATCCTAGGGGGTTAGGCACGGTGTTAGGATCTCCAGGTCCTATGATTTCAAGATGTTCGGGTCGTATGGTTTTGGCGCTTTCGGGTCTACGTGTCTTATGGTCTTATGGTGTTAATGTCTTAGGGTAACATTGTATTCGGGTATTATGGTCTTCGGCTCTCAGAGTCTGAAGGCATTAGGTGTTGCGGTCTTGGGGTATTGGGGTGTTAGGGGACTTAGTATGTTAATGTCTTCGGGCGTTAATGCGTTAGGGTCAATATGGTATTCGGGTCTATGGGTCTTCGGGTCTTAGAGTCTGAAGGTCTTAGGGTGTCATGGTATTGAGGTATCTGAGTCTTCAGGTCTTGGGGTATCAGGGCCCTAGGGTGTTAGAGTCCTAGGGTCAAAGGGTAGTCCGGCATTATCTCATTATGGTATTAAGGTACTAGAGGATTAGTCCTAGAATGTTATGGCCTTAGGGTATGCGGGTCACAAGGTATTAGGATATTAGGGTCTGAGGGCCTTAGGGTCTAATGGTCGTAGGGTATTCAGGTCTTGGGATCTTGTATTCGGAAGGTGAAAAGCCCAATCGGGGAACCGGCCTACATCGGGGAACCGGCCCAATCGGGGATCCGGGCGTACACGTGCCAAAAACTGGGAGCGGGCGACATCGGGGATCTGGACGCTCTTCCGCTGAAAATGGGAGCGGACGAAATGGGGATTGGGAATGTAATTGAACCGGCCAAATCAGGGATCTGAGATCCCTGATTCGGCCGATTACCTTGATTTCCTCATCAGGGGGTTTAATCTAACCGGCCAAATTAAAGATCTCAGATCCCTGACTCGGCCGATTACATTGATTTCCGCTTGCTCCCGCCCAGATCTTTAGGAATTCCGAAGGAATGCTAAGGATCTCGTCCAGATCCCTAAGAATCCAGAGAAAATGCTAGGGGTCTCGCCCAGATCCTTAGAAATCCAGGGGGAATGATAGAGTTCTGGCCTAGATCCTGCGAAATCCGTAGGGAATGCTAGGAATCTGCCTCAGATCCCGAGGAGAGGAAAACCTAGGGAATGCTAGGGACCTGCCCCAGATCCCACGGCATTCTTAGGAAATGAACGCTGGGATCCTCTTCAGTTCCCAGGAATCCCTAGGGAATGCCAGCGATCTTGTCCAGATCCCTAAGAATCCCTAGGGACTGCAGAGGATCTGGCTCAGATCCCTAGGAGTCCCTAGGGCATGCTAAGGATCTCGTCCAGATCCCTAGGGATCCCAAAGGAATGCTAGTGATCTGGCTCAGATCCCTTAGGAATCCCTGGAGAATGCTAGGGATCTGGCTCAGATTCTTAGGAATTCCTTGGGAATGGTGGGGATCTGACTGAGATCTCTAGGAATTCCTAGGGAATGCTACGGATCTGGCTCAGATCCCGAGGAATTCCGCGGGAATGCTCGGGATCTTGTTCAGATCCTTGGGAAACCCTAAGGAATGATGGGGATCTCGTCCATATCCTTAGGAATCCCTCGGGAATGCTAGGAATCTGGCTCAGATCCCTAGGAAGCCCTGAGGACTGCTAAGGTTCTCGTCCAAATCCCTAGGAATCCCTTCGGAACACTAGGGACCTCGCTCAGACCCCTAAGAATCCATAGGAGATGCTGAGGATCTGTCTCAGACCCCTAAGACTTCCTCGGATCTCGCCCAGATCCATCGGAATCCAAAGGGGGTGCGTAGGATCTGGCCCAGATCCCTAGGATTCCCTAAGGAATGCGAAGGATCTCGCCCAGATCCCTAGGAATCCCAAGGAAATGATCGGGATCTCGTCCAGATCCCTAGGGATTCTAAGAGATGCCAGGGATCTCGTCCAGATCCTTTGGAATTCCCAAGGAATGCTAGGGATCTGGCCCAGATCCCTAGGAATCCCGAAGGAATGCTAGGGATCTCGTCCAGATCCCTAGGAACCCCAATGGAATGCTAGGGATATTGCCCAGATCCTCGGAACCCGTAGGGCTCGCAGGAATTCCGAAGGAATGCCGGGGATGTGGCTCAGATCCCTAGGAATCCGTATGAAATACTGGAGATCTCGCTCAGATCCCCAGGAATTGCTAGAGGATGCTAGGGATCTGGCTCAGATCCGGAGGAATCCTTAGGGAATGCTAGGGATCTGGCCCAGATCACTAGGAATCGCTTGAATTTAATGTTATCGGCCAAAGGAAGAATCTGACATCCCTAATTCTGCCGATGACATTGATCTCCGCTTGCTCCCGCCCAGGTCCCTAGGAATTCTTATGGAATGCTAAGGATCTGGCCTGGATCTCCACGAATTCCTGGGGAATGCCAGGGATCTGGCTCAGATCCCTAGAAATTACCAAGAAATACAAAGGATCTTGTTCAGATCCCTACGAATTCCTAGAGAATGCTAGGGATCTCGTCCAGATCCCTAGGAATTCCCAGGGAATGCTAAGGATTTGGTCCAGATCCCTAGGAATTCCTGGGGAATGCTAGGGATCTCGTCCAGATCCATTGGAATTCCTACGGAGTGCTAAGGATCTGGCCCAGATCCCTAGGAATCATCCACCATGGGGAATGCTAAGGATCTGGCTCAGATCCTTCGGAATTCCAAGGGAATGCTAAGGATCTGGCCCAGATTCCTGGAATCCCTAGGGAATGTTAGGGATCTGGCTCAGATCCCATAGGAAATCCTAGACGAGATCACTTGCATTCCCTAGGAATTTCCAAGGATCTGGACGAGATCCCTAGCATCCCCTAGGAATTCCTAGGGACCTGGGCGGGAGCAAATGTAAATCAATGTAATTGGCGGAGTCAAGGATCTGAGATCCCTGTGTGGGACCGCAACCGAACGGAACCCGAAGAAAGCGAAAATCGGCGAGATTTCAGATTTCGCCCGCTCCCATTTTTTGGCGAGTAAACGCCCAAATCCCTGATTTCGCCCGCTCCCATTGCCAGCGCGAACAAGACCGGAAGTTTTCAGATCCCCGAATGAGCCAGATCCCCGAACGGGCCGATTACCCTATTCAGATATTCGGGTGTTTTCCCGCGTGGAAGCGCACAAAAGGCCCGATGTTCATCATCACCGCATCATCATCATCATCATCATCATCATCATCATCATCATCATCATCATCATCATCATCATCATCATCATCATCATCATCACCATCATCACCATCATCACCACCGCCACCACCAACGTCATCATCAGCAATCAGCATCATCATCGTCGTCGGCATCGTTATCACATCACCATCATCATCATCATCATCATCATCATCATCCTCATCATCATCCTCATCGTCATCATCACCATCACCATTATCATCACCGTTATCAGATATCATATTGTTCACTCCTCGCAAGAATGGCATCCGCTGCCCCCTCGAACGAGAGCCGCCGAGCATGCTGGACTGGCACGGTGGCGGGACTTTTCGCCGGCAGCTCGATACTTACACATCCGCTACACGGATAGGGGGCGGATCTTTCCAAGACGGACCTTTGGACTGAATGGCAGGCCGATGGGGCGTTACCTTTCAAAGGAGCGCTTCCTGCACTGCAAAAGGAAAGTTTGTATGGGGATTCTGCGGAGGGGTCTTGGGACAGGAGGATGTATTGCAGAATCGTTGATGCATCCTGGGTGTACTCTCCTCCTCCTCCTCCTCCTCCTCCTCCTCCTCCTCCTCATCTCTCTTATCTTTCGTCCTCTACTTCCCTCCATCCTCATCCTAGCTCCCATTCCCTAGCCCCCAGCCCGTGGTCCCTGCTCATGGCTCCTCGCTTTTGCCGATGCTCAGGCTACCGCTTCTGTTCCGGTTACCTGTTCATGTTGCTGTTAGTGCTACTGGCACTGATGCAGTTCCTCCTCCTCCTCCTCCTCCTCCTCCTCCTCCTCCTCCTCTGCCTCTTCATTATCGTCATCGTCATCGTCGTCCTCGCCGTCGCCATCACCATCATCATCGCCACCACCATCACCACCATCATCACCACCCCATCATCATCATCATCATCATCCTCATCATCATCATCATCATCATCATCATCATCATCATCATCATCATCATCATCATCATCATCATCATCATCATCATCATCATCATCATCATCATCATCATCATCATCATCATCATCATCATCATCATCATCATCACCATCATCATCATCATCATCATCATCATCATCATCATCATCATCATCATGATCATCATCATCATCATCATCATCATCATCATCATCATCATCATCATTATCACCATCATTATCACCATCATAATAATAATCGTCATCATCATCCTCGTCGTCCTCATCATCAGCATCGTCGTCAAGCTCATCTTCATCATCACCATCAACACCATCATGTTCGTGCGCTGGCAGCACAAAATGCGCTGGAAGCGAGATGGCATGCTCCGGCACCTGCCCGGCCCCCCCAGGGGGTGCCCTACCTGCCCTCCCCCCCCGCGATATCCCCAGGCAATTCCTCCCCCCCCGGGGCCCCCCTCTGGCGCCTCCCCGCCCTCCCCGCCCTCGCCCCCGGGCCCCCTCTGCCCCCCCCTCCGGCTCCCCCCTGCCTCCCCGGCCCCCCTCTGCCCCCCCTGGCCCCCACTGCCCCCCCCCCCGAGGGGGAAAAAAAAAGCTTCGAGGGAAAAAAAACAAGCCTCCGAGGGAAAAAATTAAAGCTTCGAGGCCCCTGGGTCTCCCCCCGCCCCCCCCCGAGGGGGAAAAAAAAAAAAAGCTGCGAGGGAAAAAAAACAAGCCTCGGAGGGAAAAAAATAAAAGCTTCGAGGGCCGCCCCCCCACCCCGGGAGGGGGAAAAAAAAACCTCCCCAGACCCCCCCGAAGGCCCCCCGAGGGGGGGGGGAAAAAAAACGAGGGCAAACAAAAAAAAGCTAAGCCCCTTCCTCGTCGGCGAGGCCATACCTCGGCTCCCGGGCCACCAGCTGCGTGATCAGCGCCTCCGTCTCTAGCTGCACGTCTGCCCGCAATTTCACGAGCAAGTACTCTTCAAGCGCATCGAGAAACGCTTTGCCCGCAGCGCTCAGCAACACAGACGGAAATGCCTCACCACCAGCCTCACTCTCCAGGGCGCCTGCTTCACAACCCACGCCGAGCGAAGTCGGCGATGGAGAAATTGGTGATTGTTCTGCTGGACGCGCGGCACCGAAGAGATCGTTGAGGAGCTCTGGTAGCTTGCCTCCCGGCTTGTCGAATAGAGGCGTGATAAACTTTCTGGTCGCCATGTCCACGAGCCACTTTTCCTTGTTCACCTCGGCAGATTCGAGAACATTACAGATTCCCTTCTGAAACTCGGCCACGCGCGATGGTGTGTTGATCCAAATGAGAACACATGTTTTCAAATCGTCGAGCTTCGGCAAAACACTCACAGCCAGACTCGCCAAACGCTCGAGATGCTCGTCGATCGACGTCTGAGCCTTTTGCTGCAGGTCCGCTCCATCCAAGGCGCCGTCCTCGCCGCCGCTGCGCTCATCCTCATCATCTGCGTCACCCTCGTCACCCTCGTCATCGTCGATCATAGTGCTCGTCAGGGTCGCGCATGCTGATCTGGTTGTAGCCGCGGCTTGATGGCGCCATCCAATAGTCGCCGCAAGCGCGCGGGGTTGTGGCACTTTCAGCATCGAAAAGCTACATTCCTTGAGTGTCGCGCCAGTGAAATCAGCCCCTGCCATGCTCACTGCGCGGAAGTCTGTCCTGAAGAAATTGCAACCCATCACTTTCGCGCACTTGAGACTGGCCCCATGGAGATTCGAAAAAGAAAACCCCGAATTCTGTGCGAGCGCCCAACCGAGGTTCACCCCACAAAAGCTGGAATAGCCAGCAAAACAGTTACGAATATCGATCTCCGTCATCACGGCGTTTGTAAAATCACTGGCAGCTATGTTGGCCCCTTCCATCTTCGCCCCACTTAGCTGTGCTTCATGCAACTGTACACCCTGAAGCCAAGCATGTGCAAAGTCACGCTTTAAATGCCCACGTCTGAGGTCTCCAGCCGCGGCCACGATTTCGGCAGCGACCAATGCCCTTGCGCGCACGCTCGACCTTGCCAACTCCTGCACAACGTGGAGGCACTTGGAGCCGGGAACGTCGCACTGTAGCCCGCGCTGTGGCATCTCAGTTGCGCAGTCATACCTCCGCAACCCAATGTTCTCCAGCGCCGTCCAATCTTCATCTCCAGCGCATGTCCGATCTCCAATTTCGACGAAGCGTGACCCAAGGATTAGAATTCGCCAACACTCGCGCACCTCTTCGTTCCCACCCTGAGGTGGCCACCATTCGCAATCTTCGTTGGCCCATGGTTTGCGAACTTCCAAAGCAAACGCGTCGATCTCGGAACTCTCCAACCCTCCCTGGCTAAATGAAGGTTTCTGCCGGAGCAAAACGTTCACAGTTGTGACGCCAATCTGCTTGAGCGCATCCATGATGAACGGGAGGAATTTGCGCGCCGTACTAGCGTGTGAAAAAAAGAACGCGTTGATAATTCGCCGGCCCAACGGGCCAGGGCGTGCTAAGATGTGCGGTAACTGGTTAACAGTATTTCTAGTTCGCGCGCGCGGGGCGGCCCCTGGGGGTTCCCCCGGCGAAAAGTACCCCGACCGCCGCCCGCCTGCAGCCCGACCGCCGCCCGCCTGCAGCCCGACCGCCGCCCGCCCCGGTCAACTCAGAGATGGTTTTCCTCCTGGGTACGGCCTCTCAGGCCGCCCAGAGCGATCGCCCGAAGTCGCCCAAGATGGCCCCAAGACAGCCCAAGAGGCCTCCAAGACGCCCCGAGCGGCTCAAGTGCCGCCCAAGACGGACGGAGAGGCCCCAAGACGGGCCCAAGAAGGGCTCAAGAGGGAGACCGAGAACTGAAAGATCGAGTCCTCCGCCCCAGAAGGCGCCCAGGAGGTCCCAAAGAGGCCCCAAGAGGCCCGCCCCCACGAGGCCCCCAAGACGCCCCAAGAGGCGCCCAAGAGGCCCAAAAGAGGCCCCCAGAGGCCCCAAAACAGCCCCCAAGAGGCCCCAAAACTCGGCGAGCCCACAACGGTACGACAATATGGGCCGGCGGAATGAGCGAAGCTATTAAATAAGAGTCTTCAGTGCGCCCTCGATTGTCGTCTGCGCGGATTCCCTGCATGATTGTGAGTTGTCAGACCGCGTGACCCTCTGTTGCTGCTGTTCGGTGAAGCACTTCTTGCCTTCGATCTCATGTTTGTCATCCAATAATGTTGTTCCCGATGCGTCGCTATCCCTTGCCATTTGATGCGCTGCTTATGCGAACGTTGCCCGAATCGGAAGCACAGACGCATGATAAGCCTGGGGAACCAATCGAGCAGGCCAGAGGCGTCTTGACCCGAACTGGCTACGAAGGTGCGCGAAGCGTCAAGAATTGACCGACGACGGAAAAGCAATGAGCTGCCAATCCAAGCGAATCCGCTGGCTGAGACGTCGACAAAAAAATGTGACTCGGCGCATACTCAACTCACTGGTCAACCAGCCACCGCTTGTCATCGAAGTCCCCCGTGTACAGCACACACATTTGCCACCTAACCGTTACGCAACCAAGCGAAGCTCGTCGTCCCTCCTCTCCTCCTCTCCCCTCCTCGCTCCCCCTCCCACCTCATTCCTCCTCATTGGTTTCTACGGTGGCAGAGCTGATATCGCGTGGGGAGAGAGCTTTGCACGCTGTAGCATCTCGCGGCCCTGGTAAAATCCCACCTGCCCTTTCGGGCGTGAGTAGTGGTGGTAGTAGTAGTAGTAGTAGTAGTAGTAGTAGTAGTAGTAGTAGTAGTAGAAGTAGTAGTAGTAGTAGTAGTAGTAGTAGTAGTGGTGGTAGTAGTAGTAGTAGTAGCAGTACTAGTAGTAGTCGTAGTAGTCGTAGTAGTCGTAGTAGTAGTCGTAGTAGTACTAGTAGTAGTAGTAGTAGTAGTAGTAGTAGTAGTAGTAGTAGTAGTAGTAGTAGTAGTAGTAGTAATCGTCGTAGTCGTAGTCGTAGTCGTAGTCGTAGTCGTAGTCGTAGTCGTAGTCGTAGTCGTAGTCGTAGTCGTAGTCGTAGTCGTAGTCGTAGTCGTAGTCGTAGTCGTAGTCGTAGTAGTAGTAGTCGTAGTCGTAGTGTCGTAGTCGTAGTAGTAGTAGTAGTAGTAGTAGTAGTAAGTAGTAGTAGTAGTAGTAGTAGTAGTAGTAGTAGTAGTAGTTAGTAGTAGTCGTCGTCGTCGTCGTCGTCGTCGTCGTCGTCGTCGTCGTCGTCGTAGTCGTAGTCGTAGTCGTAGTCGTAGTAGTAGTAGTAGTAGTAGTAGTAGTAGTAGTAGTAGCAGTAGCAGCAGTAGTAGTACCAGTATTAGTAGTTGCAGCTAGCGCAGTCTAGCCTAGCTTGGCTTGCGCCTCGCCTCTAGACTGCTGAAGAGCGCTCTGGGCACGGGAGGGCCCAGGCACGCTAATCGTCCGGCGCACCCCCGAGAAAGCCCCAAGACGGCCCAAGAGGCGCCCAAGACGGCCCTAGAGGGCCCAAGACGGCCCAAGAGGCGCCCTCGCCCATCTCGCGCAGCAGCCAATCGAACACCGCGCGGGGCACGGCGCCCGAGCAATGGGGGTCCAGCGTGCGAAAGAGCTGAACGATTTTCTCCATACGACCAGACGCCATCGCAGACGTGGTCCGCAATTGTCGTTGAATGCCGGAGCTCGGGTCGGAACGGTCTGCGCTGGGACAGCTCCAACACGCTGTTTAGCTACCTCCTCTTGGTCTGCGGCGAGGCTCTGGGGAGTCCGTGGGCGGGGGGGCTACTGCTGCCCTCAAACCGCGGGTGACAGTCACCCTTCCTTTTCTCGCGCCCTCACTGTTACGAACACTCTTCCTTGCCCTGAAGGGACGTCCTGGGATGGCGGCGGCCGCTGGCGGCGCTGCGGACGCAGGTGCAGGGGCTCGAGCGGCTGGGAGTAACGCCGCTGCGGCCCGAGGCGAAGGCGGAGTGCTGGCAGCCGCGGGAGGCAGCGGAGGAGCTGGGGCCGCCCCGTGCGCCCCCGCTGCCGCTCCCGCGTCGGCTGACGCGAACGCAGCCGACATCCCCGTGGATGGCAACACCGACGTCCACGTGCGTGACAGCGAGGGCCAGCCAGCACAGCGACGGCGCCGCAGGACGGGCGGGCGAAACACCCGTTGGTGCGTCAGCGCCCAGGCGGCTCGCGGCAAGAATGCTCACTGCACCCGCTGCATGGGAGGCTTTGAGGCGGGCGAATGGCGCGCGGCAGGCGTCGTGACACCGCCTGCGGGGTCCCAGGCTCACGCGGGCAGGAAGTGGTTCCACATGGCCTGCGTCGACGGCCCCCTGCCACCAGCTACGGGGATGGTGGGCTCCACTCAGCTCCCTGAAGGCGACAGGGAGCGCCTCACGGCAGCCCTGGAGGCCCGAGGGGGTCCCATCTTGCCCCTGCTGGAAACAGTCGAAGGTCAGGCCCCCACCCCTCCCCCCCAAGGAGATGGCGCGGCAGGGAGCACTGGGGCAGCCCCGAGGCTCCCTGCCGCCGCCGCGCCAGGGGCGCATGGCCCAGGCGCGCGGGGGACCCCCCTGGGGGCGGCCGAGGCAGCGGCGCCGACCACGGCGGACATCCTACAACCGCCACTCGACGCTCCTGCGGAAGCGGACGACGATGGCGGACTTGAGACAGGCGTCTACGACGACTACCTGGACGACCAGGTGACGAACGAGGACGCGTACCATGAGGTTGGCTTCGTCAACCTGGACTGGTGGGATACCATCGGGTGGGACCGCATCCTACTCCAAGGGACGCCCACCACAGCCATGATCCCCGACAGCACGGCGGCAGCCGTCAGCGACGTGAAGGCGCGGCTGTGCTTGGCAATCGAGCAGGCCCATCAGGGTAATGATGCTCAGGCGTCCAGTACGTTGACGAGGCTGTGGAAGGTGTTCCTTTCGTTGGACGGGCTGCTGTTCAGCGAAAATGCGACCCCGACACCGACGACACGGCGTGAGCGCCTCCAGGAGCGCTTGCGGTGGATCCAGGACGGCCAGTGGGACGTCGCCTGGCTGTCCATGGAGGACCAGACGCGCACGGCGGTCACTACGAAGGGCCGCGAGGATCACGTCGCAGCCCGCGTACGCCGTGTCACGGAGCTTGCACGAGCTGGAGAGATGTCTCGGGCGGCAGCGGCAGTGTGGCCCCAGAGGGGACATGGCGGATGCAGCGGCCGGCGGTGGTGAGGAAGTTCAGCACCACCCAACAGCCTGCGGCGCCTCGCCCAGGCGAATGGGGCCCTCTCCCTGGCACCGGGGCCGCCCCGCATGGGCCAGGGAGGGGCCCCGCGACGACGGGAGCCGATGTGGCGATGCCGCCAGTCACGGCCCCCCACGAGCAGGACGGCGCAGCAGAGCTCCATCGCCGCGCGGCCAACCACCTCAAGCGTCAGTTTGGCCGCTTCCCTCGCCGTGGCGGGGCGGGGCCTGGGGGGGGACGCTACGAGCACTGGGCCCCGCTCAAGCATGAAAAGGATGGGGCTGAGGCGGTGGCCAACACGCTGGCACGCCTGGCCATCGGCGACCTCCCTCCCGAGGCGCTAGCCGCCCTGACGGCGGCGCGCCTCACAAGCATCCCCAAGGCAACCCCTGGGGATGTGCGAGTCCTGGGCCGTGGAAACGTCACCCGCCGCATGGTGGGCCGCAGCGCTGCCAAGGTCCACCACAAAGACATGCGGGAGGCGGTGGGGGACCAGCAGTTCGGCCTGGCCAAGGACGGATGCGGTGCCCTTCACCGACGCCTATGCACGATGGCCAACTCGAGCCCAGGCAAGTGGGTGGTGGCGGTGGACCTCGGGGATGCGTTCAGCAACATCCCCCGCGACCTGGTGAAGGAGGCTGTGCGCACCAAGGTGCCCGCTCTGGCGCCGCTGGCGGAGGCCTGGCCCCCTGCTCGCACACGCCACGTGGCGGGGGGGGGGGGGTCACAGCCCACGCAGCTGGTCGACCAGATCCGTGGCCTCGACCAGGGCTGCCCGATGAGCCCAGGCTTTTACGCGGTCGGCACCGCGGACGTTCTCAGCATCGGTAGGATGGCCGTGCGGGCGGTGGACACGGAAGGGGACTGCCTGGCCTTCTTGGACGACACGTACTTCGTGGGCACCGCGGCCGCCGTGTTCCGCGGCTTGGATGCATGGCGAGCCCGCGTCGAAGCCCACGGGATGAAGCTGAAGATGTCCAAGACCCAGATCTGGTCCCCAGACCGCAAGCCGCTCTGTCGCCTGAGTTTGCGGAGTACGCCCAGTACCGCGTCCAAAAGCTCAAGGCGGCGGGGTCCACCCTGGCCTACACGAACCACGACGTAGACACCGACTGGAGGGACGCCCCGCTCACGGACTTCGCCGCCCCAGAGGACCTCGACGAGGGGGGCCTCGCGCAGGCTGGCGGCGCCGGGGCCGCCCCGAGCGCCGCCATGCCACTCCCCTGCGGAGAGGCTTTCCTCCAGAAGCAGGACCGCTACTTCCGAGAGCTCCTGACGCTCCGCACGCATGGGCCGTCGGCCTTTGATGCCTTCCAGCTGATGCGGATCTGGTCGAGGGGAGCCTGCGCACACATCCAGCGGGTGCTTCCGCTCGCGTCGGCGTGGAGTCGCAGAGTGGACGATGGAGTGGTCGCCTTTGTCAACGCCCTCTTGGGGGTCACAGCCGCCCCCCGCGAGCAAATCTTCATGAAGGTGGGCGACGGAGGCCTAGGCTGTGGCAGCGCCGAACAGCGGGGCCCTGCTGCCCAGTTGGCGCCCTGGGAAGCTGGGATCCACACGGCTGCCCAGGAGCTCCGAGAGACGACAACGATTGGCCTCTTTCGGAGGTGGCCAGGCCTTGGCCGCGCCCTTTCAGCAGCGGACGAAGAGCAGGGACGGCTGGCAGGAGGACGTCGCCCCCAGAGTGACCGCTGGCAGGGCCTCCTGGAGGGGCGGAAGGGCAAGGACCAGAAGACGTACACCCAGCATGTGAGGGATCACGCCACCAAGACGTTCTTGGCCGCGTTGCCTGTGACGGCGGCGGCGGCGGTGCACAGTGCCTCGGGCAGCTCAGCGGGCGCCCGGTTGGATAACTTCGAGGGGGTCTCGCCCCTCGCCGACCACGCGTTCTGCAATGCGGCCAAGAGGCGCATGCACCTGCCGCTGCTGCAGTCCGAGTGCACGTGCCTGAACCGCCCAGCAGCGCCCACCCGCGCGATAGCGCAGCACGGCCCGACATGTGGCCGCACGGTGGACGTTCGCGGCGCCCATGCGCTCACCTGCCCCAGGGGTGGTGGCCCAACGCGCCGCCACAATGCCATCCGAGATGCCGTGGCGCTCTGGCTGCGCGGGGTGGGCCGCCACACTCTGCTGGA